GGGCTGCTCACGGGACGGATCGGGACCGGGACAGGCCTGTCTCGATTTCGTCCCGATAAACAGTAACAGGACAGAAAATTTGTTTCGTGTCCCGACCCGTCCTGGGGTTGTCCCGGTCCCGGTCGGGAAGGGAAGGATCCAGGACGGGACCAGGATGTCCCAAAGTTTTTTTTAATTTTTTTTAAAAAATTTTTTTTTAAAAATCTGATTTTTTTAATTATACTTTTTTGGGCTTAAACCTTATAAAAACATTTTTTTATTTTCTTTTTTATTTGTTTGGGAACTCTTAAACAAAAGCTCAAAATATTACATATAATAGTCGTTAAAAACTCTAAACAAAAGCTTTTAACATAATAAAAACTTGCTAAAAATTCTAATAATCAATAATCTCAAATCATTAACAAATATAAAAACTCTAAATAAATATATCCATAGTTCCATACAATAGTCTCAAATCTTAAAAAAATATGAAAAAATGATATTATATAAATAGGATAAAAAATTAAAAAAATTAAAAGAAAAAGGAACTGGGATGGGACAGGGATGGGATGACCCCATCCCGTGTCCCGTCTCGTCCCGAAATTTTTCAGGATGGATCCGTCCCGTCCCAATAAGACCGGGACCGGAATGGGCCGACCGGGACGGGCTGGCCTTGAATACCCCTTAATTAAGCTTATTAAAACCAATAAAAAATAATTCAAATTAATTTTGAAAATTATGTTTGAAATTATCCAATTAAACAATTAGATAATTAACCAACTTAATTAAACAATTAAGAGGCAAAAGTACTCAAATTTTGCAATTCAAACCACATTGATAATTAAACTCATAATAAAAACTCAATTATAAATTCAATTAACAATGCAAAGGTTCTAAACATAAATTCCAACAAGTTTCTCGACACAAATAAGATCCAAACATCAATCCAATCCAAGAATAAAAATAACAATCTAGAACTAAATTGTCTCACAAAAATACAACTAAAAATTATTTAAAACTAAATAATCTCAAGTCTTTGAATTAAAAAGATAAATGGAATATAACTCCCTTATGGTCTTCAAGTGCTAGCCCAAGGCTCAAGTCTCCTCCCTGCTCCTTCCAAATTGCCTCCCTAACAAGCTTAAGCTGCCATCAAAATCATCTTCCCTCCAAGCATAAAGACGTAAAGCACAGCCATGTGGGTGAGGAAATTGAAGCAGAGTGGCGTGGCTTCTTGGTACATGTTGGATGAAAGAAAATGATGAATAAGCGGGGTTATCTGGATGGCCGAAAGAATAGAGTACAACTTGGAGAGAAGGATTCAACATGATGATTCCCTAGAGATTTGATTGTGTCCGTATGTAATTCCAAGATGGTGAGAGATGGCGTGTAGCGGTGGCTTTTTTTTTTTTTTTTTCCCGGTGAACATGGGGTGAAGGAAGATATAATGCAAGGCGTGGGCTAGAGGGATTATTTTAGTGAGAAAAAAGAAATTTTCTTGGATCCAAAACTCAAGCTCATTAGTAATTAATTGACCCACTTGATATTAGCCATTGGAGTGTGCTTAAATTCTAAGAAACAATCTTACACCATTAGATTTCCTATATGCTCTTTCTTGACCTATAAAAATTTAAGTGTATCTATTAATGTAGATTATATTCAAATATAATCAAAAATTAAATATTAGATATGCACAAAAATTAGGCAAGAAATTACAAAACTTTCTAAAAATAATCTTTCTAAAAATATGAGACTTGTTTCCAAAGAAATAGGAAAAATTAATTCCAAGTTGAAAATAGGAAATCACAAAATATTTATATTTTCAATCCAGAATCTCAATTTTTATGAAAATTTGAAAAATCAACCAATTAATCCAATAATGCATAAAAAGTTCATTTAAGCCCAAAATTATTATTTAAATCTTAACTTAATGTGGGATAAAATGTATAAAAATTGAGCTTTATCAGTGTTCTTGCTGGAGAAGTTTGTTTTGCATTGATTTGATGATTCCAATGGGTGTAAAATGTGTTTTTGTATAGAGATATACTAAAAGGAAGTGTGTAAAATCATTGGAATCAAAAATAGAAATTTTGGAAACTTAAAACCCCCTATTCGGCCAAGAGGAATTTATGGGGAAGAAGTTTGATTTAAGAAATATGATTCCATATTTGAATTCCTCATGAAAAATTGTGTAGGAATAAGTCATCAGGTTATTGATTCTTAAGGAGGAATTATTTTGTTAAAAATCCAAGGAAAAAGGGGAAAATGTTAAATCAAAGAGAAAGTGTTATGTTTAAGTGGTTTGGCTATTAATGTGGCCTATGCTTATGCTTGATTTAATAGGCTTTGTGAGGAGGAATCAAGGAGGATCATTGTCCCCTGAGGAGACCAAATTAATCAAGTAATAAAAGGTAGCATTGAATTATAATTTGATTGTTTATCTTGCTTGTTTAATGTGATTATGTTGATTGCTTGAATTGAAGAATTTATGTGGTGATAATGGTTGACTTTATGACATTTGTTTGTGCTTTGGCCAAATACATAGAAATATGTTAATGTGAAATTGTTGATGTTCCTCTTTTGGTATGATGCGAAATATGATTTTATGTGACTTGAGGATGTTTGAAGTTTTATAACGTGTCATATTATACTTGCTTGATTTACATGACAATTGTAATTCATTGCTACTGAGATTTCTATGAAATCTCACCCCTCTCAATGTATAAACAATAATAGGAGCCCCAAGTGGTGTTGCTAAGGGCAAGGAGAAAAGGATTGGAAGTCGTATTGGAAGAAGTTTAAGCTAAATGTCATTGAAGTTATGAGTTGTAAATTATTATAAGCTGTTATGTATCATTGTAAACAATGTTGAAATACTTTATTGATGATTAAGGATATTCCATTTATGAACAATTAACTAAGGAATTATGTCTATGTATGTGTTGCATGATTGGGAAAAGCTAGATGAAAGGAAAAGAAAAGGAAAAGGCAAGAATGGTATGAAAAAAGGATAAAGGTTGACTTTTTGGGAGCAAAATTTGACCAATGTGATTTTGAGTAATTGGATGAATTTGGATCTGAAACTTGGGATGATTATATATCTCATTTTTAGCTTTAAAATAAGTGGTAATTCATTAAATTCAGAGTTTTGTACAGAAAGTTATGCCCTTCCAAAGTGGGGCATAAATCCTGAAAAATTGAAAAATGACTAAATGAACAATGTCACTTTGAACAAAATCTGATAATGATGTATGAGATCTGGATACAAATGAGTATTTTTCCTCTAAAGAGCATGTCAAGAGCTTTCTATGGAACTTGGAACTATCCATTTCAATTTTTCTACAATTAGTTATGAATTTTCAAAATTGTCCTAAATTGCTGTAAATAGTGTATGGGAATCCAAAAATGGGAATTGTGAACTTGAAATTTTCTCATACTTAAGACTTGAATAATGGTTCATAATGGTTTCAATTGATGTATAATATGATAATAAAGGAAGTGTGACAAGCATTACACTCTGCAATGATCTTGAACAACCCATTGTGGAAAGTGACAGAAAAATGGAAGAAGATGAGGGTTTAATGAGAGAGAATAAGAGAGATTTAATGGAATCAAGTGATAGATCGAAAATAGGGTTTCTAAACATTTTAAGAGGTGGAATGGGTCGGATTTAATAAGTGGGTAAGTTAATGTTTTGATTAGCATCCAGATCTAGGTTGCTGATACGAAGACATCGTCGTGGCGAAGCATTACTGAGAGGAGCTTCTCATGACTTTGTGAGGTTGCCACAGTGAAGGCAAATCATGGCTGCGGAAAAATAAATCCCAAGATGCCACTGATGAAATCTTTGGATTGCACCGCGGCGAAAGGTTTTTCTTGGTAGCGACGAAAGGCTCTAGTGTTGATACTTTAAGTCTTGTGTTGTGAAATTTCTTGTTCTCAAATCTTGGCTCTAATTCTTAAGTGTCCTATAATAAAAATCAATACTTTGAAGCATCAATTATCCTAGACATCAATTAAATACAATTAATAATCAATTATGATAATTTTATCCCCAAAGAGGTACTAACTCAAAGCAAGAACTCTTAATCTCAATTAGGCATAATTATCACCAAAAAGAGCCAATATCTATAGTAAAAGCCCTGAAAATAATATAAAATAACATAGAATAATTGGACTCAATCATGCATCTAATACCCTAAAATATTTTTTTAAGTGCATTCAATACCTTGAAATATTTTTTGATACATCTAGCACTTTAAAGTATTTTTTTAGGTGCGTTTAGCACCCAAAAACATCCACCAGCACCAAGGCAAAAAAAAAAAAAAAACTTCAGGATGCTAGATACACTAATACTTTAAAATGCAGGATGCACCACAAAATACTTCAACGTATTAGATGCACCTAAGAAAACATTTTGTGTGCTGGGTGCATCTTAACCCAAATTAGTTTTGGTTTCCAATACTAATTAAATTGATTTCTTTAATTTACTAGCTTGTCCAAGTATACGACAAAATTCATTAGATCACATAATATCATATTTTCAAAAACCCCTTCCAAAAATTACTATACATGATCAAAATGAGATAATTAATATTGATATCAATACAATCTATAAATGGAGCTCCACCAAGCAAGGTTGAAATGAAATAATTTTCATGAGAAAAGAAACCTACGTCATTATAAAAACTGCCCACCTGCATTATTTCAATTTACAAGCAACCATACATCTTGGCCGTTATGACATTTTTATCATTGAAACTTTGCTTTTTTTCCCTCTTTTCAAATTGTCATCTTTCCCTCTATTCAAATTGTCATCTCCTCTCAGGTGCTTCAGCCACATCTTCTACCCTAACGCTGTATGGTCTCAGCAACAAACAACTTCTATCTTCCTTTTTTAATATAATATTATTCAAATTCTTTTGTTCTATAAATCCCCACCAAGCCCCAACACTTTTCTTCATTCCCATTCACTTCATTATTTTTCTTTGCATTAACGTTATCATTCAGAGATCAAAACAATGGCGTGCTTCAGGAACTTGGGTGCTATTTTTGTTCTTGTTATTGTTCTTTTAGAAGCTTCTTGTGAAGCTCGGGTTTTAAAAGTGGCTTCTTCTTCCAATTCTTCTTCTTGTTCTTCATCTTCACCGCCTGCTGGGTTTGTTCGAACCAACGGCACAGAGTTTGTGCTGAATGGCTCTGCATTTTTCTTCAATGGCTTCAATTCCTACTGGATGATGAATGTAGCTGTTGATTCTAATCAAAGATACAAAATCTCAAATGTGTTTAGAGAGGCTTCATCTATTGGACTCTCTGTGTGTCGAACTTGGGCGTTTAATGATGGTGGATATCAAGCTCTTCAAATATCACCTGGAGTATATGACGAGAACGTCTTCCAGGTTAAACATTCTTCACTTTTAGCTGGCTCATTCACAAATAATTTATTTTCAGTTTTACTTTAATTCATGCACACCATTAAAACACTTGAAACCAGTTTGAATCGGCGGATCATAAACAAGTCCTTTAGCTAACCTGGTCAAGAGTTTTGAATGAGTTAATAAGATTGGATTATTTCATAATTTTTCTTCTTGTTGAGTCTAAAATGAAATTATTTTGATGAGTTAGAAAAATAACAGTCTATAACACGTATTTGTGCTTTATTAACTTTGTTTTAATTGAATTATGTAAGGTTTACACATGAGTGCTGTTTCATTTACATATGAATTTTTACTTAAATACTCCTTTCGTCTCTTTTTATAAGTAACAACTATTATTTTCCTCTTATCCCTAAATATAAGTAATATTTGTAAGTTGTCTTAAATTTTTGTTGCAAATTTCCTATTTTGGCTTAATTTATTACTTATTTTAATACCTAATATATTTATTGTCTCATTTCTTAAACCATCATCTCTCTCCATCCACATTCTGTTTCTTTCATAAATAAAGATATTTTGGAGAAGGAACTTCTAATTTCTACCTATTTATTGTCTTTAACTTTAACTAATTTTTTTATTTACATGATGGAATTCAAAGTTTACTTATAAAAAGGTGGAGGAATATTATTTTTTTGAGATTATTTTAATCGTAGTTAAACCACGAACTTTTGTAAATTACTATGTTAACAATTGTAATGATGGGTTCAATTTTGAAAGCCACAGTTGTAATAATATTTTTTCCGATTCCACAGTTGTAATAATATTTGTTGGCTATTAATGGCAGGCACTGGATTTTGTGGTAGCAGAAGCAGGAAAGTACAACGTGACGTTGATATTAAGTTTAGTGAACAATTACCATGACTTTGGAGGAAGACCTCAGTATGTTCAATGGGCTAATAGTTCTGGCGCTCTCAATGCTACTAATGATGACGATTTCTATACCAATCCAGTCATTAAGGGTTATTACAAAAATCATGTCACGGTACGTTTATAGCCAATTATCATATAATGCCCATATTATTAAAATTGGATTCAATTTTTGCGCACACAATTCTTATGATCTTTAGATTAGAAAATGATTTTTTTTAATTCTTAAATGCAGAGATTTACTTTCGTCATTAATTATTTTTGGGCAAAAGAATTAAAAACTCTTAATAAAATTATTCTTTCTTACTTTTTAGTGAGAAAATGATTTACTGAGTTAATTCTTTTTTTTTCTTTTGACCAGAGTTACTGAGTTAATTCTTGCAATCTGACAAAGTGTTTGCATTGTATAAACTCTTCGTTAAAAAATAAGAAAGACTTAAGTTTCAAAAGACTTTTTGCCAATCATAACGAGTGGTCAATCTTATTACTGTTACAGAAAGTGCTAACGAGGAACAACACAATCACTAAAATAGCTTACAAAGATGATCCCACAATTATGGCTTGGGAACTCATCAATGAACCAAGATGCAATGTTGACTATTCAGGGAATACCACAAATGTGAGTTACTTTGTTTTCTCAATCATTAATTTTTCCTCTTACACTTTTAATTAATTATTGTTCTTAATTAAAATACTACTCCTCCGGTCCTTATTATAAGACCCAATTTGACTTTTTATTTGGTCCTAATTATAAGACCCAATCCATTTTGTCTCTTATATTTATGCATTTTTTTCCAAGATAATCCTTCTAATAATGATAGTTTTAGCCAATATACTTAATTAGCAAGGATATTTTAGGAATAACAACACTTATTTATTATAAATAACCAACTTAACTTACTTCCTTAATCTCCTCAAATAAGTCAATTGGGTCTTATAATTAGGACCGGAGGAGTACTACATAATCATAATTAATTAATTAATTAATGTTCTGTTGATTGTGATTTATTAGGATTGGGTGCAAGAGATGGCTGGTTTTGTGAAATCAATTGACAACAATCACTTGTTGGAGGTTGGCATGGAAGGATTTTACGGGGACTCAATTCCAGACAGGAAACAATACAATCCGGGTTATCAAGTTGGAACTGATTTCATCAGATCCAATCTCATTGACCAGATTGACTTTGCCACCATCCATGCATATCCTGATAATTGGTAAATCTAAATATACTAGTCTTAGCAATGTTAATTAATTCAATACTAAATTCTATCTTATATATACATGGATTCTTTACACACAAAAAAGTCCGAGTTTTTATTGTATAGAAAACTATATATATATATATATTTTCAAATATCTCATGAAAGACACAAGTGCGTAAAAACCTGATTTGAAGCCAAAATATAATCCAAATTAACCCCTTTGAAGATAATTGTATTTTACAATTAGAACTCGAATATATTAGAGGATATAAGCTTGAAAATATTCTTTAATAAATGCTGAAAGCCAGATATTTTAATTTTCACAATGCTGATCAGTTTTAGCAATATCAATCAGTGCAATGCAAAACTGTATACACATTGATTCATTATTTATATATAAACCTTTCACCATGTATAAAAATCAAGTGAATTAGTGATGGAATTTCATCATTAATCCATTTATTTAACAATGAAATTTTGTTACATATCAATTAATCAAGGTCTTTTTTGCGATGAAATTTACAAATTTTATTGTTAAAATTTCGTCATGAAATCACTGCTGTTTTTTTATCACACACCCATACATACAAACAAGCCTCATCTGAAGCCATAACATAATCCAACTCGTTCGAGGATAACCTTTTACATTAAAACTAGAATTTATTTTATATATATATATATATATATCTCAATCTGTATGATATTATTTATTAGAATTTGTACAAGTTAGCATAGATCACACAAATTTTGAAAATTAACCTCAGGTTATCAGGACAAAACAACACTGATCAAATGACGTTCATGCAAAGATACATGATAAGTCATTGGAACGACACAAGAACAATCATAAAGAAGCCATTGGTGATGACAGAATTCGGAAAGTCTAAGAAAGATGCGGGCTTTAATATCAGTGTTCGAGATTCCTGCATGAATGATGTCTACTCAAGAATCTACGACATGGCCAGAAAAGGAGGAACTTTTGCAGGTGGAATGGTTTGGCAACTTGTGGATGAAGACATGGATTCCTTCTCTGATGGCTATGAGATTGTTTTGTCCCAAGACAATTCTACAAGCAGTGTTATTAGTGAACAATCCTCTAGAATGATTGAGCTTAATAGTATTCACTATTGATTGATTAATAAATTATATTCGAATAATGTTTTTAGTTTGATGGAAGAGATAATATTTGTGAAGCCTCCATCACATATTGTTAGTATTCGTGAAGAAGGATACAAAATGTTCAGCATTTTTTACATGGTTAAAATCCAATAGAAATGTAACCAAATATTTGTTTCCTAATATAAAAGGTACGTATTAATTAAGTTAATTAATTATACAAAAATGTGTGTTGGTTTTTTTTAAATTAGTGTTTTTAAATTAAACACTGTGCATTTGGTACTAATCCCTTGATTAAAAAAACCCTTTTAATATTTATAATTAATAAGAAAAATGTTAAAGATATTTATCAAGTATTAATGTGTGTTAGTGGTCATGATCTCTACATAAAGGATCCATTATTATTGGTTTTAGGTGTGATAGGATGTATGTTCCCACCATATAGAGGGAGGATAACTTCGATCTCCTCTTATAGAGAGAATAAGTTGGGTCTTTTATGTCACATCCTATTAATTTTAACTTTAAAAATGAGGAATATAGAATAGACCATGAGTTAAGTAGGATAGCTAACAGATAGATGACATAACTTTTGAATTGAAAGTAGATTGGAACCGGACTGTCATTTTCAAAATATCCGGTCAATATTAATTAGCATTGGAATGTAGACCTGAAATTCTAGAAAATTCTCCAAAAATCATGAAAAATAAAATAAAAAGTATAGAATAGTATTTGAGGCATAAAAGATGAAAATAAGAAAAATAATAATTTATTTTAGAATTTTCTGTATTTTCTTGGAATTTTGCCTAATTAAGGAAAAATTGGCCAAATTGAATTATTTAAAATATATAGAGACCTCAATAATTCATAAAAAATTAGAAAAATTATTTGGGAGGTTATTATGAATTTTAAAATTATTTCCAATCTCTAGAGATACAGAAGTAAGCTTCAAATTATTTAAAGCAAGAATTATATTGGTGAAGGGCTGATTTTGGAAAAAATTCAATTGAAGGAGTTATAGGGCAAAATAAAATCTAAAAAAATTAGAGAAATCTCTTTTCATTAAAATAAAGTTATTGGTGTAAGAAAATAAATTTTTGGAGATAGTGAATTTAACAAGATTCGAGAAAAATTGAATCAACAACGTGAAATTATACAGTATAATAACCATTAGCTTGGTGGGGCAAATTTTTCTGACCTATATGGCACCATTTATGGAGGCTGAGGACCTAGATGAAATAATACAATTTGTTGAAGGATATCATTGGAAGATTGGAAATTTGAATAAAATATATGAATTTTTACACATGGGAGCTTATGTGTCCCATGAGATGGCATCTCCATTTAATTTAGAGGATACCTAAGGAGGTTATGTGGCATCTTGAAGAGGAAAAAGAGAAGAGATGAAGCCAAGAGTCCCATGGTAAAAATCAATGGTTAATTTAGTTACCACATAGTAAGTGTAATACAAGCTCTATATATACCACTTCCTCTCCTCACCCATCACTCTTTTTGGCCAACTAAGAGAGCTTGAGGGGCAGAAGAATTTTAGCAAGTGGAGAAGAGAAGAAGGAGAGAAAGACCAAGGTGAAACCAAGTGTTTTCAAGTCACTAATCAAGGTAAAATCATGTTTATCCTATCTAGTGTTTGATTCTCTATGGATTGATAGCTTTAAACTTGGTTTTGGTCGAAATGGTTGGAAATCCCAAGGGTTGATGTTGTACGAATTGCCTCATGATGGTTTATGATTGATATTGAGTTGTTATATGGATTAAAAAATAGGAAATGATTGTTTAGTGATGGTTAAACCTTGTTGTTTGAAAGATATCATGTTGTGCACAAGTGAGACATTGTTTTGCCAAGGGGGGAATGCTGTCCTAGGGTTTGATTTTTGTTGTTTTGATGCTTCCAATGGATTTAGAAGGTGATTTTGTGTAGGAATATGTAAATGACATGTGTTTCAAAGCATTGAAATTGAAAATGAAATTTTTGAAACCCTAAAGCACCATTCAGCTAAGCTGAATAAGGGATAAGGAATTGGATTTTGATAAATTTAAGTTCAAAAATAAATTCTACATGAAAAATTGTATAGGAAAAACCTATGGGAATTATAGAAAGAATGATGATGCTAAAACTCTAAATCAAAGGTTAAAAGGGTAGGGTTTTAGATGTTAGTGGCAATTTCACCCAAGAGGGGGGTAAATTGGGTAATATATAAAAAATTGACTTTAAAAATAAATAACCGAGTAATGTAAAGGAAACAAGTTTAGAAAGGTTTCACCAAGGATAAGCAGAAGTAGAATCACCTAGGAATTTATACTGGTTCGGTTTCAACCACTTGACCTAGGTCCAGTCCTTAGAGCACCTCTGAGTTTTTCACTAAACTCCAAGATTCAATGGGCTCTTGGTGCCTTAGTACAGTAATTGAGCTCACTCTCAATCACTTCCCTTTACTTCCCGTAAGGTTACAATCCCTTCAAGAATCCCAGATTCTTGAGTCACTCATTGAAAGTAATAAATGATTTACTGTCTTTCTTTGAAGAGTGTATAGGATAAACAATGAAGCTCAGAAAGTAAAAACAGAGTAACAAATGTAGAGATCAATTTCGATAGTTGGTAGCTCAGTTTATTCACTACTTCATTTAATGCTCTTCACATCATTTATGGTTAGAGACTTTCAATTTTTTGTTAGACACAAGAGCTTATAGCCATTGGGATATCACTTGTGTGTTTGGTAGTTGCAATGATTGCTCGTAATAAATCCAGTTCTGACATAGTAGCTTGAACCTATAATATAACCGTGAGCTTCATAACCTATGGAAATATTTTGGTAGAGAAATAAGCTTTCTTCATAAGAGAATATAAGTGTATAGCAGAATAGATGATGATCTTCGAACTTTAATGTAACAAGTGAAACTCATAAATCAAAGATTAGATCACCAGAGAATCAAATTATCAAAGACCTGATCGATAAGCACCTTTATCGACTAATAGAAATAAGGTAGTCTAAAACACACATTCATTTATTGATCTCATTATGGGACATATACTTTATAGAACATGCTATCAATAAAGAGTGAATTATTGTCAAATTGATTTTATCAAGAAAATACATTTGAAAATCAGTTGAAAAGCTGATAACTTGAATCAGGTGCCTTCTCTACCTTTTATAAGAAAATAAGATGATTAATGAAGGCTGAGAAAAGCTTAAAGAATATCTTAATATTATATTTATGAAAGACAGCGTGAAGAACAATTTTAGGAAATGTATTTGAGCTTTATGAAATAAGTTATCGATTATCCACTTTATCTATAAGCTTATCGATAATTGAAGTAACTGTAGAAAACTATTTTGAACAGATTTGTCTAAAAGGTTATCAATAAGTGACTTGATCGAACATGTTATCTGAAAAGCTATCTGAAACATTTAGACAGAGTAAGGAAAGAAAATGTGGCTTTAATGGATAAAGTGATCGATAAGTGTATTTATCAAATAGTCGATTGATAATTGTGCTAATAAAACTTAAAGTTTAAAGATCCTAAGTGTAACTTGATCGAGTAGATGATCAAACATCCAAAGTTTAACAAGTTAGACTTAATTTTATAACAAGTTATCGATAAGTATGATTATCAATAAAGTGATAGATAACTTAAAATGTGACATAACAGACATAGTTTGAAAAAAACTTACCAATTATCTGATGTGTGATCGATAACCTCATTTATCCCTAAGGTTATTGATAAATGCTTACCAACAGTGAAAAACTTATCCTTTTTACCTGATAGCCTATCGAACATCTAAATTATCAATCAAGTGATCGATAATTTCCTAATAGTAACCATATGAAAGCAAGTTTACCAATGATCGATAAGTTAATTGAACAATATACTTATCTAACAGGTTATCTAGAACAGTTGTTATGTAACATGTTATCGATAAAGCTTAACAATATTTAAACTCACAGATATTCAATCGTTTATCTAACACATGATCGAACAAGTCAATTATCTAATAAGTGATTGATAACCATTTATCAATAATGAAATACAGACTTTGTCATCATCAAAACCTTAAATCTAACATTCTCCTCCTTTTTGATGATGACAAAACAGAAGTTATATGCAGAACTTATATCACAGAAAATAATCAATTGCCAGAATAAAATTGTAGAATTAATAACAGAGATCAAGAATTGATAAACTGTTAACTGATACACAAATATCAAAAAAGCCATTACTAGTCATTAACAGAGAGGCAAAACAAAAATCATGGACACCAATAAACATAGAAGCTAATTCCTAATTCGGAGATCTCTTCTCTCACTTTTTGTCAACATCAGAATTGGGGGGTGGAGACTAGGGTAAAATGAGGTAAAGTAAAAGGAATGGGAAGAGGAGGTAGTTGAAAGATTGGAGAGAGAGCTTGAGAGATAAGTAGAAGAGGTTGAGGGTGAGAAACAGGAATGATAGCAACAGATGTGGAGGTAGGAACAGTGATTGATAATAAAGAGGTTGAAGTAGGCACAGTATTGAGAAGACTTGGAGAAGGAATTGGAAAGGGTTCAGGTTCAATTAAGGGAGGAGTAGGTGTAGATGGATGAGTAGGCAGGTCCTCATAAGTGAATAATGTGCCAGTTGCAGAGAAATTTGCAGAGAGGAAGGTGATCAGACTCTTAAGCTCCTGAAGCTCCTCGTCCACAACATCAAATGTTTGAGAAACTTCTTCTAAAACCACCATTGCTTGTCTGTGAAGATCCAAGATAGTGTAAAGCCCTTCAAATTTTTTGTCAGAAATTTCTCCAAACTCCTTGGCAGTATTATACAGTCTGCCCTCAAATGCTTGAAGTTCACTCTAAAACAGTCCTTGGATAGAAGCTCTATAGAATGAGGGTGCAGAGGTCTGAGTTAGATTTACAGAAGACTGAGCCTTATCTTGTCCCCTTGAGGTACTGGTAGTTGGCTATTTCCCTTTCCATTTTTTTGCCTTTTTCTGTGCTGGTTGAAAAGGCAGTGGAAT